GCCCATGCGGCCGGGGCCACCAGAGGAGCCCTGTTGCCACGCAGCTTGGGCCGCCCGAGCGGCCCCTGGCGTGGGCCACCAGAACAATCCCCTCTCTTCCCCCGGCCTGGGTCGCTGAAGAAAGCCCCCCGGCTACTGGAGCAGCCACAGCTCCTGGCCATAGCTCCAACCCTAATGGCATTAATGTTGTGTAACAGATTGGTTTTCAAATTATAGTCATCATAGGTTGGTTCGTATCTATTAGTTAATATTGCCCGAGCGGCCCCTGGCGTGGGCCACCAGAACAATCCCCTCTCTTCCCCCGGCCTGGGTCGCTGAAGAAAGCCCCCCGGCTACTGGAGCAGCCACAGCTCCTGGCCATAGCTCCAACCCTAATGGCATTAATGTTGTGTAACAGATTGGTTTTCAAATTATAGTCATCATAGGTTGGTTCGTATCTATTAGTTAATATTTCTAATGACCAAAAAAAAACCTAATCCAAATCTAGATTTTAAAATTATAGAATGGATTCAGATTACACTTTTCACAGGAAGCCTGGCTCTTGCTACATTTCAAAGGTGGAAGAACTGCCAGTTCCCCACTGCACCCCTGCTCTCACCCCACAGAGACAGTGCTGGGGGAAACTGGGTTTTAAGCCGGCTCCCCCCAGCATTGGCTCCTGCTCCCCACATCTTTCTGCCTCTGTCTGCTAGAGGCAGCAAAAGGGTGGGAGGGAGCAACTAGTCAAGTTATTAGTTGACTAGACACTTACATCCCTAAGTCTTAATTGCATAAAACTATTTGTTTATAAGGCTATATTACAGTTGAAATTAAAAAAAAAGTAATTAAATACCTACCCACAATGAGTCCTATTTCACAATTCGGATCTTCATATGCACAAGTCATCATAGTGCCAACTGTATCATTCACCACTGCCACCACGTCCAAGTCAAACTCCTTTGAAGAAAAAAATATAATGCTACAGAAAAAGCATTGCAACGTTTGTTAGATTGCAAGGAATTAATCAACTGTCTAAAATGTGTCAAGTGAATAAATGGATAAAAATATTAACTTAACATTCAATTCTTAAATGAGTTAAAAAAACCAAAATAGCACAATGTAATTTGCATGCAGGTATTTTGACTTATTGGTATAATTTGCTGGAGCTGTACAATATACTACTTCCTTGCAGTAGGAATACCAGTACAGGTTAGGATATGTACTTCTTATAGGAATAAGATAACATTCACCATTCTCTCTCACACATACACGTGTTATAGGCAGTCATATTGTGAATGTTGCTCTAAAGTTTCCATTATATGACCCTCATTTCAACTGTTTATACCTTTTCCAACCTTAAACCAGGTTGAAAAGAACGGTTACTTACCTCGTAACTGTGATTCTTCGAGATGTGTTGCTCATGTCCATTCCAATATAGGTGTGTGCGTGTGTGTGTGACATTAATATGCAGGGAGGTTTTGTCCGTAGACCACATACCTTGCCTGTGGAAGTCTCCTAGGTGAGCTCCCAAGCCCATGTCTGACGCGTCCGTGATCAGTTGGATGGACGGCACTGGTCTGGAGAATGGAACCCCCGCACAGACCTCTGCCCGGTGGGTCCACCATTTCAATGCAAGGAGGACGGGGGCGGGGACTGTCAGCACCCTGTCCCAAGAGTGGACGACCGGATTGTGGACTTGCAATAGCCATATCTGTAGCGGGCGCATGCGCAGTCTGGCGTGCTGCGCTACATAAGTTCAGGCGGCAATGAGGCCCATAGACGCATGCATGTGTGGACAGTGGTCACCGGAAAGTTCTGGAGCACCCTGGCCACTGTCTGTATTGTGAGAAAAGGGGAGCTGGACAGAGAGGCTCTCTGTGCCAGGGAATCTAGGGTGGTGCCCACAAATTCTATTATCTGGGTAGGAGTCAGGGTCGATTTGTCCAGATTCAACAGAAGGCCTAAGTCTTCGAAGAGTTTGTGGGCTGTGGTGATGTGGGCTCTCACCTGAGTCTCTGACTCCCCCCTCAGGAGCCAATCATCTAGGTAGGGGAACACATGGACACCTCTTTTTCTGAAGTTGGCAGCCACCACTGCGATGGATTTAGTGAAGACCCAAGGGGCCACAGAAATACCAAAGGGGAGGGCCGTGAATTGGTAATGGTCGGGCCCATGGTAAACTGTAGGAACCTTCGATGGCGGGAGGTAACTGAAATGTGAAAGTAAGCATCTTTTAAGTCAAGGGCAGCGTACCAGTCTCCAGGGGCTAAGGAAGCGATAATGGACGCCAGAGTCACCATTTTGAATTTTGTCTTGACGATGAAGGAATTTAGATCTCTGAGGTCCAGATTGGGATAAAGGCCCCCTTTTGCCTTTGGAACCAGAAAGTAACAGGAATAGAATCCCGTTCCGAAACTCAGGGGGGAACACATTCCACTGCCCTTTAAAGTGAGGCGATGACTTACTTCCTCCTGTAGCAGAGGCTTGTGAGAGGGGTCCCTGAAAAGGGACGGGGTAGGGAGTTGGGAAGGAGGGGGCGAGTGGAAAGGGATTACATAACCCCTCTCCACTATCTCCAGCACCCATCAGTCTGACGTAACAGACCGCCAGGCCTGGAGGAAATGGGATGAACAGTCCCGGAAAAGTAGAGAGAAGACTAGTAAGATGCCCTCGAGGGTCCCACCAAAACCCCGACAGGGCCCTGGGGGCTTGTTAGGGGGCCCCTACATAAGAACGGACGTACTGGGTCAGACCAAAGGTCCATCTAGCTCAGTATCCTGTCTGCCAACAGTGGCCAGCACCAGGTGCCCCAGAGAGGGTGGACCAAAGACAATGATCAAGCCTCTTCTTCTGAGGCGCCGGCGATTGAGAGTGGTGCCGGGGTCCCTGCGGTACCAGAGAGGCACGGTGCATGGAACCATCATGCACCGAGGCCGGTCCTGGTCGGAGAGCCGCTTTCATGAGGAGGATCTTAAGGTGCGATTCCCTCTCATGTTTTGTCCTTGGCTTGAACACCTTACAGATTTTACAGGCTTCTGTGAGGGGTGTTTCTCCCAGACACTTTAAGCACAACGAGTGCGGGTCACCGCAAGGCATAGGCCTATTGCACTTTTTGCAGGGCTTAAAGCCTTGTGGGCCAAGCAATCAACAGAAAACAACAAAAAAGTCTTTAACTTAAATTGCAGACACTTAGCTGAAGATTAACTGAAGATTGAAGAACAATGACGACAATGATCACATTCAGACTGAAGATTAACTGAAGATTGAAGAAGAACAATGACGACAATGATCACATTCAGGAGCTGAGGGTTGTTCCAATGACCGTCAAGTCACGGCAGTAAGAAGGAACTGAGTGGTTGAGAGGGCCAGTAGAGGTATATACGGACCGGTATACCGGCGACACTGCAGGGGGCTCCCTGCTGGCCCTAAGGGTACTGCTGAGGGAAAAACTTCCAATGGAGTGTGCACGTTGCGTGTGCGCACACCTATATTGGAATGCACATGAGTAATCACTCGAAGAAGAACTTTCCAACTCTGCTGGTTGCCTCTTGCTGAACTGTTCCAGAAAATTTTGCCTAGAAAAGTTCTGCCATTTCCAAGAATACACTTGGGGAACATAAGTTATTTAAAAAAAAAAAATCTTACAAGAATTCTGTTAAGAAACTCTAGTCCTTACTTTCTTTGGAGCAGGAACTTAAAATGTGTCAGGTACATGCCTCTTCATCACCATGAAAACTCAACTAAATTTGGCCAAATTACAAGCTTCTAAAAAATGTCAGTTCACACATGCTCAGTTGAAATGTGTTAAAGTTTAGTAGATAAATTTCCTGAAGATCCATCTGTGCTGAGCATGCTCCATCTCCTCACAGCTCCTACATACCAACTGGACTTCACAGACCAGTGGTCAGCTGGCAACCTTTTCAAGCCAAAGAGCCAAACTACTTCAAAATTCAGAACAAGTGGTCAACAAAGACCCAGTATACAAGAATACCCTTTTGCATGCCTGAAAATATACAACTTAGTATTACTGATCATTGACATGATGATTAATAGCAGCATGAATGAAACATTGTACTCACAGGCTTCATTTAATTGGACTTTTGCTGCTGCTGGGGGTGCAATTTGTGGATGTGGGGGTGCAGGAGTCAGGGATGGATTGTATGAGGGACTTGGGACAGAGGACTGGGGTGTGTGGGAGGTGCAGGAGGCGCAGGAGGCAGGGCAGAGCGCTGGAGTGGGGGCCGGATTACCTTACTTGCCCAGGGCTGGGCTGCTGCACCCGGGCAGCAGTAGCTGGATGAGGGGCCAGGCCAGGATCACCACAACCAGATCACAGCCTCCCCTCCCACCCATGCTGCAGCAGGAGGGGAGCTGCTGCCACCAGCCCTTCCTGCAGCTGCATGGGGGCCAGACGACAGGGCCTGTCCCAGGATCAGGGCTGAGGACAGGACACTACAGCCAAATGGGAGCTGGGCACTTTCACTTTCTCATGTTAGTTTACCAAACTTCATTTTAAATAAAGTAAAATATTATATCCAACACAAAATTTAAATAAAGTAAAATATTATATCTGTCTATTTATGGCAGAAGTGGAGGACCTGTTTTGGGTCATTGGCTAATAACCTACAGAAAAATAAGTTGGGGACCACACAAGTGAGAAGCAAAAAACTGTCTATTTATGGCAGAGATGGAGAACCTGTTTTGGGACATTGGCTAATAACCTACAGAAAAATAAGTTGGGGACCACACAAGTGAGAAGCAAAAAAACCAAACCACTCCACACACCCCGTCCAAAAAACCCCCAGTCCTCACTAATGTAACCCCCAACTGAGACATCTCATTTCCCTGGCACTCCAGCTCCATGGCAGGGTGGTGTGGGAGAGGGAGGATTGAGGTTCAAGGCCTCAGGTCAGATTAACCCTTCTGGGGTTCCAGGGTTAGTGGATTTTGTGGGCTATCAGTGGACTTTGTAGGGCCCCCTAGGCTCTGGGATAGGGCAAAAAATAAGGGGTCTAGTGTGTGGAGACAGAGTTGCCATTGAGTGGAATTGGGATATGGATGGGGTGGAGGATATGGGTGGGAGAAAGAGTACAAGAGCAGGCTGGGAGAAGTGTGTCTGGCCAAGGGGAAGGGGGCAGGAGCAGGCTGGTGGTAGGTCTTTGGCAAGGGGGGAGGTGCAGGAGCGGGCTGGGGGTAGTGGTTTGGCCAGGGGGAGGGGGCAGGAGTAGGCTGGAAATAGGTCTTTGGCCGGGGAGAGGGTGCAGGAGAGGCTGGGGGTGCAGGGTCTGGGCAGCACTTACTAGCTTTTGCGCCCTGCGCTGCTCTCAGGCTCCCTGTCCCAGGCATGGCTTCCCGCTGCTCCACTGGATGGATTCTGGCCAATGGAGCAGAAGGAAAAACCTCCATGCAGCGCATCTGTGCGCTGCTGTTTCCCAGCTGGGGGAGGAGGAGAGTGCAGAGCTGTTTGTGGCTATGCTTCTCTAATCATGCAGCAAGGCTCGGGGCTTTCTCCATAAGAAGCCAGCGCTGGTTCCATTATTGTGCGGGGAGGAGGAAATGTGCAAGGCTGGAGTGACAGCCCTTCCCTGCAGGAATCTGGCATTGGCTCCAATCTTGGGGAGAGGGGTAGAAAGTGCCTCATTGCAGGGGAGGCGGGGAGCAGAGCTCAAGCTGAGAGCCATATTTGGCTCCTATGTGAGCCATATTTGACTTGAGAGCCATAGGTTGCCAATCCCTGTCACAGACACTAGCCCCACAAAGCAACAAAGCATAGAAAAGCAAGTGGCTTTCTTTGGTTACAATCCTTTTGCATATTTCCTACCTCCTTTGTAAGATATACACCATTTGTACAAATAAAAACAGCCAAAGTGCTTCTGAATTAATCAATGACAGAATACCAAAGACATACGAATTCCATCACACAAAAATCAAGTTAACAGATTCATTCAAGAAAATAATGAAATATTGAAATGTCACCTCTCTCCTTTTAATTCCTTCCCTAAGCAAATACACTACATCCTCTCCTTCACATTCTGTAGCTTTAAAGCCTTTGGTCCAGTTGAGGAGGATACCCTAAAAGAAAAAAAAAAAGGCATAATTACTAAGTTTCTGAGTATGCCATTCATTAGAATATGAGAGAGTTATTAAAAAAACATTCTGAAACACACAGGTTTAAAAGACTAAATACATACACATACATAAAAGCACAAAATGAACATCTCTGTTAAAAACTGCAGTTAAACCTGGGGGATAAACACTGTTCCACTGTGAAAGATTGTACATTCTAACCCTGATGCCACATTATATGCTGATGGTGATCTCACAGACATGACCATAACTCTTGCAAATGGAACCCAATTTTTGGATAGTACACTGGTAAAACACAGATACGGCGCTCTGAAAGAAGAAGATCTCCAGTGTTCGCCAGGAAAATACAACACACATATAGAAATGTACCACAACCCTCTACTGAACAGCATATACTACGTATTTCAGTCGTGCCCAGGTTCTCTCCCCTGGCTGGAGCAGCTCTTTTAAGTAGTTTGGTAAGAGAACAATTTTTCAAACTAAAAAAGCGGCAAGGAGTTTTTCAAACTGAAGGTGATAAATTCTATTCCCTGATATTGCAGGTGATGCACCCCCAACCTTAGTTTCTAGGCAACATTCATCATGTTATGGCTTTGCTTTTAACATTAAAAATGCCTACTTGACAGATACTCACCTAGGCACTTGCTAGTGAAAAGTCTCAGAGATCCAAAATGTGTCACAGAGCACCATTATTGGCACACTCCTTTACATATGAGATTCCTCTTATTTTCAACATGGAATGTTTTATATATTTTTCCACTTGCTCCAAATTTTATATATTTTATTATGAAGCTACATGTAGATAGAAGCTTTCTTTGCTTCTTCAAAATTTGTGTCAACTTTTAATTTGGACTAAAGCAACATATTCTATTTGAATTAAAAAAACCTCCAGAATTAAAATGCAATCTGCTGATCAAATCATTCCATATTCTACTCAACACTGAAAAAGCATGACAAAAAATGAAAACGGAGGATGTCATTGTCCCAAAGAAAAGAGCCTTTGCTCTTGGAAGATGCTAAAGCCTTGGTCATAGAAAAAATAAAAAAAAATCACACTGCTGGGAAAGACTGCTACTGCCCAGAATGTAACCACATATCCTAGACATTGAAATTCTAGATAAAAATGTGGTAGAGAAAGCCATCTTTCTAAAACAGTATTGAAAAGAATGTCACCCTTCTAGAAGTCAATATTAAATTTGGGGCAGATAATTCTACAACCCTTTCCACAGACTTATACACACAAGCATTTCTATTGCAAATTTTAAAAGAACTACTCATATGAGTAAGTATAATGTAGCCTGTGCAAGGTTGGAGAATCAGATCCACAAGAAATACTAATGGACAGATTCAAAAGAAACAAAGATATTATAAAAAACTTACAGCATCTAAACTGGTCTGCTTGCAAGGGAAGGAAAATGTAAAGCCAAGAGGAAGTCGTGCGCCTTTTATTCCCATGTAATCCAGGAAGTCTGAGATACAGGTAACAATGTGATCAAATAGCTTTAAAAAGAAATATATAAACATCATTACAATTAGTCATATTTATTTAAATATATATCTGTTTATATATTCTTTAAAAATCAGAGATAATGCAGGAAAAAAATAGAAATGCTCACTTCTTCTCCAGTACCCAGCATGACTTCTATAGGAATAGCATATATTTTATTGTGCATTTCAACTGTTCTCTTTTTACCACTACGGATCTTCACAAGCAAAACTCTGAAGTTTGTTCCTCCAAGATCGAGAGCCAGAAAATCTCCATTCTCTGTAACAAAGTATTTATACATTTTAGGAACACAGAAATAAAGCAAAAGCAGATGTCCATTTTTCATTTTCTGAGCAGGCATTTTGGCATAAGGCTCTGGAAGTTCTCTCAATAGTCTGAAGGCTTTAAAGGTTCTTCATGACTATTCTAAGCCTTTTCCCTACTTGTTGAAAACCTGCACGTGCTGAACTATACACTCTTTAAAAAGTGAAGAATTCTCCAGGAAGCCAGGAGATGGTGCTATGTTCCTGCTTCACCAACTGCAGAGTGTAGTCTTACGCTGCATATGTAGAAGAGAGAGGGAAAAAAAAGGTGGCCATTCCACCTCTAGTGCCTATGGATAGCTAGAGAAAGCACAGCACTGCCTCCACTGGCTGAGGTTAGAGATGTGAATGACTAGTCGCTTCCTCTCCTTTGCTGCCTCTATCAGAAAG